CGGCGGGAACGGGCTGGAGGACAACAGGGGGGTTAAAAGGGGCTGCAGCCAGGAGGACCCCCCCAGGCCCAGCTGGGGTGGCCTCACTGCCTGCATCTCCATTGCGTGGGGGTGGCGAGCCCACGCGGATGTCGCGGGATCCTGGTTTAATCATGCAGCCATTCTCCGTGTCACCGGCATGCTTGGTTGCTAATTTACTTGTAAAGACCAGTAATATCGAGAGACTGGGATTCCCCCAGCTCCACGTTCTCAACGCTGCTGGGAAGAGCTGGGCGAGGGATGTGACAGCGCTGTCCCCCCACTCCCCAGCCCCGGGCAGCCCTGGGGAAGTGAAACACCGTCTGCTTGCGCCGCACCACGCTGGGGGCAGACATTCCTCCTCTGACTGAAACCAGACCTCAGGCGATGCTGCCGGAGCTGGTGGGGAATGCATTTAAACGAAAGCAGCTTCGTGCAGAGACCCAGGGTTTGCGGTGCCACTAAAGCAACTCCCCCAGTAGGACCCTGCCCCAAGCCCCCAGCTCCCAGAGGGGACCCCAACCCCTGGGGTTTCCCCAGCCTCCAGCCCACCACCCCACACCTGGGAGCAGGAAGGTGTGGGATGCTGGGGATGCCAGCTTGGGGTGATGCTGCGGCGCTGGGGTGATGCTCGGGAAGGGAACACGGGATGAAGGCACCCAGGCAGGACCCTCGGCAGCAGCAGGCAGAGGGGAGGCAATGGGTGGGATGGGGACATCACAGCCACCCCGTGACCTTCTCAAACCTTGTGTCAGCTTTCCACCTCCCTCCCCAACAGATCCCTACCAACGCACACAATCTAAAAAAAACCCCAAGGATTAGGAAATCCAGGGGAACAAAAGGAAGCAGAGAGGGGCCCTGGGAGCGGGGCTGGGTGCTGTCTGGTGCCCACAGGCAGGCAGGGCAGGACAGGGCGAGAAGCTGCTGAGGCAACCCTTGAGAGCACTTCCCACCCAGACCAACCTGGTCCCAGCCTGGGAACTGTTGCAAAACCCCCCAGTCCCACCCTGGGATTTGAGGAAACTGAAACCTTGTGGTGCAACTGGGAGGGATGAAGCAAGAGGTGCTTGCTCAGGAAGCAGGTGACAGATCCAGTACCACGGGACTGCATGGGCAAGGCATCAGCCAGCTGCTAAACTTCCTCGGACCCTGAACAGGCTCCAGTGTCACCACCTTTGCCTTCGCCCCCCGTGCCGAGCTCTCCCGCTGGCAGGAACCGGCCCCCACCCCAGGAGCGCAGCCCCTGTCACAGCCGGACCCTTCAGCGGTAAGCGAGGATGACAGGGTTATTGGGAAACAAGTCGACACTTCCAAACAGATTCTCTTTGCTGCTCTTTTCTTTCCTGAAGCTGGTCTGAGTGTGGCAGGGGTTGCTCAGGAAAGCCAGCAAGCTAATGTATTCATGTCATCTTGCATTTGGTGCCAGGACATGAAGTAAACACCGTCAGGGACCTCGCTCCGGTTCAAAGACAAGCCCTGTTTCTTATTCCGATCACATTATCCACGCTCCCCGTACAGCTTCATTGATTCATATCTTAAAAAGAAAAGCCTTCAAAACCCATTAAGTCTGCCTTGCCGTTCCAGCCCTGCTCTCAAGGGCTAGGGCAAGAAGCATTAACTAATCTGCTCACATTACCTTGCCTTTGAACCGAGCATCTCTCGGCGTCAATCAGGAGTGTTTGGAAGTGATACGCTCCCGCGCGGGACCACTTTCGGCCACTGAGGTTGCCCAATGTCAAGCGAGCAGCGGGAGCAGCACTTAGGCATTGCCCCCTGCACCCGGGGAGCACCCAGGGCTGGTGCTGCGGAGGCAGGGTGAAGCAGCCCGAGTTAGGGCCCTCTGGTTACGGGGGACCATATGGTTATAAAGAAACCCACGAAGGAGCAAGCTCCTGCAGCTGCTCTTTCTCAGGGCCTCAGACAGCATCTGGGGCGTGAGAGCGGGGACCTTGCTGGTGTCAGCCCGGCTGGGTCTCGGCAAGAGGAGAAGGGTTTGCAAGGAGCAACATCCTCCCAGGGATTACAAAAGCCACGCTGCCTATTGCCAGGGAGAAGAAGGTCCTTCCAACCACTTGGGCTCCAGCTCAGCCAGCCGCCGCTGTTGATTTGGCTTCAACGACTTCACAGCATACCGAACCGTGCTCTTGGGGGCCCAGCGTGCTCCGGCGTGGCTGGCCGAGACGTCGGGCTCGGCCGCCCCATGTGCTCCCTGGTGCCTTGCGCAAGGCAGCTCCGCTCCCTCCAGCCTGAATTCTAGTCAGGAAGAAATTATTCACTCCCGTTTCCATCTGGCTGCAGGAGACGCTTGGGATGTTTCTTCCACCGCCCTCCCAAAGAATTCCCATCCCACTGGTGCCAGCAGCAAGGCTGGGTCCATCCCTCTGCCCCCAAGTTCAGGGTTGGGGACTGTTTGCTGGATGAGCTTAGAGGGATTTGGTTTTAGTCACATTTCAAGTGCTGCTGGTGACTTGTTTTTAGGGTTTGGAGCACTTTGAGAGGCTGTGTCTACCGAGTGGGGATTAACCACAGCCACCCAGGCCCCTGCCATGGCTGGACTTGGGGGGCATCTCTGGCCCCGGTTGGCCAGGGGTGGAAAGCCAGGCATCCTGGAAGCTTAGCTTTGCTTTCTCTTTCAGACCCAGTCACTGAACCCAGACCAATCTTGGTTTCTTGGATTTGGTTCTGGTTTCGAAATCCTTTTGCAGGGGCAAGCTGTTTCCCAGCTGAGTTACGGGAATACCCAGCTTGGGGCTTTTTTTGGCTGTCCTGCCGCAGCCAGCTTCCGTCCTACGTCAGCCCCATCCTTGCTCCCCGGGACCAAACCAGACATGGCATAAGAGGGAGAAGCCGTGGGGCTGCACGCAGGCCCCAGGGCACGGCCCCAAAGAGAGACACAGCCTGGCTTTGGTGAGCACCAGCTTACACCTGGGTAAGGACTTTCATGCAGCAATAACCCTACACGTGTGCATTCACGGGCATGCATGTGCACGTACACGGCCGTCTTCCCCTCGCCCTCTCTCTTACAGAGGTTGCTTCCCCATTTATTCTCTTTAAGCTAAATCCACAAAGTCACTCAACTCCAGAAGATGTGTTTTGCTTTGCAAAAAGGGCTGAGCTGGGGCAAGGTGTGTGAAGGCATTTTATTGCCCGTGGATGGGGACATCTAAGGAGCTTATAGGGGAGGAAAAAGCTCCTCTGGTGAGAGGCTGGAAATGGGCACAGAGGTCTGGGGGAAGACCGTGGGGCCAGAGCTGTGCCGGAGAGGTATGCGTGCTGCCGAGCGATGGGAGAGCAGGGAGGAGGAGGCAAACCCAGCCTGGGCGAGGGGAGGATGCAGACAAGGTCTCAGGATCAGCTGGCTGAGACGTCCAGGGGGAATTACAGGCAGGTCTGAGCCTGTCAGATTACTGGAGCTGGGAAGGGGGGAGTGGGTTGTGGCAGGTCTGGCAGGAGGAGGGAAACAGGAGCCAGAGAGAAAGGGAGGAGCGGAGGGAAGGTGGGTGAAGAGGGGAGAGAGGCACACGGGAAAGCAGGGAGCAGAGGGGAGCACCCAGCCCCGGGGGTGGTGGGACTGGGGGGGCAAGAGGATGGGCTGGGAGCCATGGGCTGGACGGGGTGGGAATGGGCTTGGTCCGTCACACGTCACCCCCAGCACCCGCCTGGCCGAGGTGTGGGGCCGAGGGCCAGCTGGGGTGGGAGCACCGCACGCCAAAAGCAATTAAGCGCTCAAGGGGTCACAGACCAGCTGCTCGGCTCCCTCCCATCTGAAGGTCAGAGGAGAGTGTCCTCATTTGCTGCCTCTTAATTACATCTGATCCTGCCCTAATTCCTCCTAAACCCAGCCCTGAGAGCCTTCAGGTGGCTGCTGGGGAGAGGTGCCCGCCAGCCGGGGTGACGGGTGAGCCGGGCACAGGTGACAGCCCCGGGCCGAGCGGTGCCTCCGGGAGGGACGCGCGGGGCCAGTGGCGCTGCGTGGTGATGGAGGAAGCGCCATGTGCACCACCGTCCTGCTCCTCGGCACCCTGGTCATGATGCTGCGGCGCCGCTTCTTCAACAAAGTTGAACCGTACGTCCTCTCCCATCCCCTTCCCGTCCCCTCGGGGCCCTGGGGCTGGGGAGGGGAGGCAGAGGGGTGGCCCTGGGGTGGAGAACCTCGCTACTCAGCCTAAGACCCATCCTTGGAGGTGTTTGGTTTCCTTCTAGTTTTGGTCCTCTGGGTGACACCAGGAGACATCCCTTTGTGCTGGGTGGAGAGGAGCCCTCTGTGATTGCCATCACCTCCTCCACCAGTGCGAGCAAGGAGGAGATGCAGGATTGGTGCCATGCCTTTCTGGTGCAAAGGGACAGGACTGAACTCCTGGGATGCTTTTATATGCATCAATCAAGGCATTTCCCAAATGGAGCAGTCCAGCACCCTGCTATCCATCCAGGCGAGCAGCGTGGCTGCCTGTTTGTCTTCATGTCTCAGCTGGAGGAGAGATGAGCACTGCTCTCTGCCATGGGGACATCACCAGGCTGCCAATGACACCCCAGCGGCGCCCAGCTGGCAAACCTTCACCTGGGGTGGAATAGCCCTGGGGAGGCCCCGCTCCACCCCTGGGGTGCTGGGAGCTTGGGTGAGGGTCT